TCGAATATTAATTCTAACTAATCCACTTATTTTTTGTCACTTCTACAGCAAGTTCTTTACATATGACTTTTTTTTTACAGTAAATAATGGTACAAATCAATGTCCTATCGAATATTAATTCTAACTAATCTACTTACTTTTTGTTATCTATATAGGAGATAAGTTCTTTACATACAGCAAATTTTTTTTTACAGTAAATGATAATACAAATCAATGCCTTATCAAAACTAATCTACTTTTTGTTACCTATATAGTTTGTAAGTTCTTTATATATGACCTTTTTTTTACAGTAAATAATGATATAAATCAATAACCTATTGATGTAATTCTAATCAAATCACTTACTTTTTATCACTTCTATAGCAATAATGTTCTTTATATACGACTTTTGTTTTTTTACATATCAATGCCCTATCGAATATTAATTTTAACTAATTCACATACTTTTGTCATCTTTATAGGAGGTAAGTTCTTTACATATAACATTTTTTATAGTAAATAATAATACAAATCAATGCCCTATCGAATATTAATTCTAACTATTTTACTTACTTTTTTGTTATCTATATAAGTTTGTAAGTTATTTACATACTTTTTTTTATAGTAAATAATAGTACAAATTGAACACTAATTTTACCAATCTACTTACTCTTTTGTCACTGATATAGAATGTGAGTTCTTTACATTTAGCTTTTTTTGGGATCCACCTTATTTTACTGATACTCATTTCATAAACATAGGATTTAACTAACATGTTCATTCTGCCAAAACTTAATTCACTGACGTTTAATTCACCTACAACCAATTCACTGCTACTTAATTCACCAACAAGCTTAATTCACTAACAGCTCAATTCACTGACAAGCTCAATTCACCAACACTCAATTCACCAACACTCAATTTACCAACAATCAATTCACTAACACTTAATTTACTGACAATCAATTCACCAACACTCAATTCACCACAAAGTAATTATATCTGAATTATGTTTACTGTAAGGTTAGTAAATTAAGCTATAATGTTAGTGAATTAAGCTTGTAAGTGAATTGAGTATCAGTAAATTGATTGTCAGTGAATTGATTGTCGATGAAGTATTGTGGCTACGAAATAAGTATTGGTAAAATGTGCAAAACCAGTTTGCAACAATGGATAAGTTCATTATTTTAACAATGAGTAGTGGTAGGTTCGTAAGTTTAGCAGTAAATTGCAATTTAAACAACAGTAAATAGTTCATGACTCAAACAAAGAGTATGTTCATGATTTCAACAGCAAGTAGACTTGTAATTCAACAGTAAATGAGCTAACAATTTTGGTAATGAAAAAAATAGCAATCCAACATCACATGACAAGACAATTAAGTTAGAAATTTTAATTTTCAGAATTTTGGCATAGATAAGGGAGTAGCCAAATATTTATTTAAATATCTGTATGTTTTGTCTAATTTTGGTAATTGATAGGATATGGGGCCTTTGCTATGATTTTTTTTTTACTAAAAATAGATTTGTTATGATTTTACTAATTAAAATCTTGTGTAACAATAGCTCGGAGGGTCATTTTGTTAGCAAAAGCCCTATATAATCAGTGTTATCACATTTATGTTTTTTTTATTGGCTTATAATTCTATTCATTTTTATTTTTCTATTATAAATTTTGAGTATTAAAGTTTACTAATTAAATATAAAAATAATTTAAATTTATTGCTTTACTAATGCTCTAACAATATATGTTTAAATAATTACAAATTATTAATAAAAAAAATTTTTATATAAAGGCAAAAAATTGAGCTTTTGTTCTATTGTTCTATTTGCCAACACTAGATATAATAATGTCACTATATATCAATTAGTATTGCCTTTGACACAATTTGACAGGCAGTTTCAAATCATCACTACTCTACATCCAAAATGCAATAAAAACATAAGATGCAGTAAAGCCTACTCGAAAAAAAGCAAAAAAGATTTAGTTTGAGAACCAGAACTTACTGCCAGCATTTATAACTAACGATACTTATTTACATGACTATGAGCTTCACTTAAATTATTCAATATCTAGTTTCATCACAGTCAAACCCGAAATAACATTTGTTAATACTATTTCACATGTCAACTATTGAATATTTCCCATTACAACAAGTTCCAACGAATTGTTCGCTAGTATAATATTAATATATTAAAAATATTTTGCAAAATTAAAAGATTCTGTAAAGAAACAATTATTCTTTAAATTATTTTAATTAATTTCTTAATATATTAATTTCATACAAATTAGATAAACAATATTAACTCTCTTAATATATCTTTGAACCTTGTTGTATATGCAATTTTATTGGTCAATCACGCGAAATTTGAAACATTTCACATGATTGTCGAGTATAGACTTCCGGCACCATATATCGATATAGATCTATGCAAATTTTTAGAAACGCCGGAATTAAGTTAGTATATTCTTAAATTTGTTGTCTCATACTAAATGTCTGTAATGTACATTTATGTATTCACCTCCTCACGTGGAAACATGTATAGTCTAATCAAAATAAAGATTTTACGGACATACGATATTTGTATTGCCCTATAACTATACACTTTGTGAAATTTTCAAATGCACATCGTTCCTGGTATCGTTTCTGGTACGTTCATTTTAATTATTGGTATTACATTTATGTAATAAATCTTATAAGTAAATGAAAATCACTTAAGTAAAATTGAGATTTTCCAAAATCTCACTACCTCTAAAGTAAAATGTAGATCAATATAATAAGAGTAACCCAGTAAGCGACTTAGTGCAGATTATGAATTAAGAATAAAAAATAATCAAATCAAATCAAATTATCACAAGGTTGAAAATATTGTGTATCTGTTATTGCTATATAAAGCGTATACGTACTATATGTACCTCAAAAAAAAAATTTTAAAAAATAAAAATAATTTACGATGCCAATTAGTATTTTATCGTTCGGATTATCTGACAAACTCTCTCTCTTAATAATTTTTATAATCAGCTATGTAACTCAATTTTATTATCGTTATTTCACTCGTAAAAATCCCCTGCCAGGTCCTATCCCACTTCCAATTTTTGGTAACGTTGTTCAAAAATATGGATATAATTTAGCTGATTGGTACACATTATTGCATAAAAAATATGGTGACATGTTTGAAGTATATTATGCAGGAGAACGTAAAGTCGTATTAAGTAGACCAGATTTAATTGAAAATATTAATAACAATTCAACAAAAACTAAATATCCTAATAGATTTGAAGATACAGAAGGACTTACTGAATATGGAGTTAGTGCAGGAGTAGGCAATAATAATGAACCTAAATCTTGGAGATTTAATCGTCAATTTTTTACTCAGGCTCTGTTTTCATCAAAATTTGAACATCTAGCTATTGAATGGATAAATGAACTATGGGAAGAAATAGATTCCTATTGGAGTGAAATTGATGAAAATAAAGAATTTGATCTTGTAGAATGGATGCAGGGGTAATAGGTTTATATAACAGATGATCGATATTTGACATATGATATTATTGTATTACTTTACACAAAACCTAGATCATATCAGAATAAAGTTTATTAGTGCAGAGTATAATTTATTGATATACAGAGAAGTTTAAATATCATTATTGTATTATTTACTCTATTTGTAAGAATGTAATTGTTCTGTACCTGAAATAAATATTTCTTTCACTTGGCATAGCAGCTTGTGCAAGATGATATTTGTGTTTTGTTATTTTAAAAGACACAGGTTAGTGACAGCCACGTAGACTTGCAAGTAAGGCTTACCAGACAAGTAAATACAGTTAGCCTTCTGTAAGTGTGCTTTTTTATAAGTATATTTGCGTGAATCTTCTTTTCATAATAATAGTAATAGCAAGTGCATATAAATCTTTGCGTCAATTATACAATATTTGTGGAATCTACTCCATTAGTTGACAACGTCAAGTTAGTTCGTCCAGAAGTTACTCTCATAATGTCAAAGCTGAATGAATAATTATTTAAACTATATTAACAGCAAATAACTATCAAAAGGAATTTATAATCGGTCATAATTTATGTAGACTAATTATCTATCATAGCACATATTTTACAACCACTTTGTTTCTAGATGAAGTGTACTTATTGAAGGTTGACTATATCAGGTGCCTATAGGTGCTGTATATTAACCAAACACATTCATTATTTATAGATATTTTCGTTGTTATTATCTTTCAAACTATTCTTCAAATGTATTTTTAAAATAAAACAAGTGCAGCATTCGAAAGCTTAATAGTATTTGAACTTTATCTTTTGGTATAGTGATTTATAATTATAAATCAATGCTTTCATTAAACACTTTTATCTTATATGTACAGTTTACAATATGCAAAAAGAAAATATTGTTTCTTTATTCCATAATAATTTGTTTCAGAGTGGCAATTCTACAGTTCAATCATGTTTATATCTGCAGCTTTGAACAGTGGAGTAGAATATGAAATTATGAGTCTAACAAACAATTAAAAAAACCTTACTAAACTATTAGAAATTTATGAAGGTAATGTTCATGATTTTATGTTTATTAAGTAATGGTAAAACTTACAATATGTATATTATTAGGGCAAATATCCTAAATGGCTAAAGTAGCATATGGTATAATTGAAACTTTTGCTCACTTAAAAGGGTTTGAAATTCAAAAGAGGCATGTTGAAAATATTGATGTAGATATAAAATTGCAAAAAAGTCTTATATTATTATGCCAACAAATTGTTGACAGAAAAAAAAAATTATAAAACATAGAAAACTGTTTGTATTGAACTAATTGTAAATAGAAAGTTAATATCTAATTGAGCAAATATTTGAACAAATATCATATATCTACCTTTACAAACATCTATACTAGTCATACTTCTAATCTAATTACTATACAATTTATCTAAAAGAACTATAAGCTTACCAATGAGATGTTAAAAGATATTAAATTCTATATTTTAATTAGAAAGAGTAATGTTAGCTCACAGTATTAAATTTTTCTTTACAAAAATCCTATAATTTCAAGATATGCAATTATTTGCAAATAATAAACAATTTATAGTGCATTATTAGTACTAAGTTAGCACACTTTTAATAATTTATTACAAGATTATTTCATTATTAGTATCTTTAAATATCAAATAAATTAGTTAAATAATAGTAATTTTTAGGCCTTTATTACTAAAATATTGATAATATATTGTTAGTATTAGCATTTTGTTTTTTTTTTTTTAGTATTAAGGTGAGGTCTTGCCTCATATCTTTATTAGATATTTATCAGGTATTTGCCTTATATGGCTACATATCTATCTTAAGAATACAGACTTAGACAATTTTTATCTACGATCTAAACCTACTAAAGTATGCTATATTCTCACTATATATTAGGTTATATCTGGATTTGTTATTCAGACTATATCTAGTTACCCACTATATTTACCCCATATCTCACTATCAAACTTTGGTAATTTCCAAATTAGTTTATTTGAGTAATCAGTTCTTAATGATCTTCTAATTTGGTGTATCTGTTATTCAAAGTATTTCCTAAACTAGTATACTTCTTCTAATAGGTGGTCTCTTGTTTATGTTTCTCAAGTCAGGTACCTGCTACTACCACTAGTCCCACATGAGAAGTATTGGTATCACATGTTGAAAAAGGGACTTATCTAGTATTTGCACTACTTAGTTCATATGATACTCTCATTAAAGTAATTATATCATATCATCTGCTAGCTTGTATTCTTTCATGCAATTTTAATATTATATGAATGCCCCAAACCTCCTACTTACTACCCCAGGTATACTGCCTCATATCTCAAGCCAGGTTTTGCTACCACTGCCCAGTTTGCTGTCCTTAGGTCTTAGTATTTTTCTAAGTTGTCTGATACAGTATATTTCTTACTACTCTTAAATATTCCCTTATATAATATTCATTAGGACCATGATTCATGAGAACTATAGCAATTACAAGGCTACATACTTCTAGTCATTAGCTATTTTCGTAATTCTGCTTTAATAATCTATCTTGTTAAAGACTATCCTAATACTATGAAATTACTTAAGTGGCAAGCTAAATTACTTCTAGCTAGTTCTAGTTAGTATTGCATTAGTATTAGTAAATCCTAACTCTTTTTCATCATAGATTTCTATATAGGTGTGATCAGAGCTTCAAATTAGTACCTTTAGATGTACAGAAGTAAGTTATATTCTCTATACCAAGTAGTATTCTATAGTTATTCCACCGTGCCAGAGATGCTTTCAATTCCAGTTAAGATATAATCTTTTACCACAGCCCATAGTTGTGTATCGCCACTTTTCTTACTACTCCAGTTTTGATAGTATAGTATTATGTAGATTGATAGTATACAGGGTCTTTGTCCTTCTTTCTTATCAGTTTCAACTTGCTTAGCTATCTACACAGGCTGGATTAATGTTTCAGGTACTACCACCCTTTTCAATTTGTCACCTTAACAACTACAATAATGACTACACAGTGTATCAATTAGAATGTTTATTCACTAAGCTAAAACTTTATTAATTTATTACTATTAAAAATCACTATATTTAAATACAAGATTATCTTCAGATATATATTTATCTAAGTTACATGCATTAGACTATCAATAAATTAGACTTTTAATTAATTCATGCAAATCTGCTTATACAAATTCAAATCATGCTACTTATGCACCCTGATCCTAATCAAACCCGGCGCCATAAAATCTCAGTATACCGAATTACTGTAACTTTAATATAAGCTGGATTCCCCAAAACTTCATCTCCAAAGTTTCAACCTATGCAAAATAAATTCTAACACAAATTACTCACTTGCAAATACTCAACAAAACCTAATACTATCCTAATATACTAAATTAACATACAATACATTGTTAATTAATACATAAACTAATACTAAAATTTTTTTTTTTATACTTCTATCATGGCATTATTACATTTTCTAATCCAAATATGCAAGTTTACACATATTAATCTAATTTTCAAACAATGCATATTTCAATCCATAATATTCGATTTTATGATCCAAATATAGACAGCTGTAGAATTTTCTATTTTTTATTCGATCTAATATATTCAGCACCAGAATTAGATTCCTATCATAAGGTTTTTGCGATTTAAACATCTCAGTTCTATCCTCTTTGTGTTTGATACCATAATGGTACCTGGACAACAATCTATAATTCAACCCCTTTTTTATTTTTATACTTTTAATTGGACCTTTGACTATATTACTAACTTGGGGTTTCTTTACTTCAGTATTACATCTCAGTTCATTTTTGATAATTTCAGTACTGGATCATTTATCATCAGCTTCAAGACAACATCATTCACTAAATTACCACCTTCAGTACTTTTTAAGTACTATTCATATAGTATTTTTTTATTTTTGATTGTATCTATAACTTCATCATAACAGGATTTGAGATTAATTCTCCTACTGGAATTTCTATTTTTAGCAAAATCTGAATACCATTTGAATGTCACCTTCTCATCTTTTTCAACTCCAATTTCATCATAATGGTGGCAGCTTTCACTAGATGTTCTATCAGCATAACTGATATTCATATCCCAAAACTATTGTAATATATCTGTCTTATAACCAGAAGTGGCAGACTTCCAATCTGTCGATTCATCAATATTAATCCTATTGGTTTCATTTTGCAGCACTCAAGTTTATATATTCTATCAGTTTTTCTCTTATCAACAGATTTCTCAGAATTAACAAAGACTTTTTCCTTATTCCTTCTAGGATCATTTTCATCTATATTACAATATCCAACTCTCTGCGTCCTGTATGAATTACTACTTTCAGCAGATTTTAAACACTGTTCGAATACCTTATTTTTATTCTTTTCAATATGAATACAATTTGGTAACAATGCCCAAAACTATAGTCTTTACTAATATAATCTATCTTATCAGATCTTTGATTGTAATTAACTATCGTTTGTTCATTCATTCTGCCTTCAATCTCATTACAATCATTATCAACATCAAGTGCTTTTAGCAAACCTTCTAGCATTGCATTCATTTTTGTAATTACATCCAATAGTACTTCTATTACTACTATCAGTTTATCTTGGTAGTAATGCCTAATCTTGACCACTTCCTCAACATTGTCTATATTAGCAGATTTTTGGTAGTAAACAAATATCACCTGTTTGTTCTTATTGACTCCAATTTCATATTGATAATATAATCCAAGATTGTCTTGTGCTTTTAGATTACCTTGTCCCATATTTGCAGATCTTTAATAATAGTTAAATACTTTATTCTTATCCTTTTTGACTCTATTCTCTTTTCTATAACAATATCTAACAGTACATGTTCCATCAACATCGTCCATGTTAGAAGATTTTTGATAATGGATTAATATTTCATGTACATCTTTATCAATTCCAATTCTATATTGGTAACAATGTCTAACAATATATGTTTCTTCAGCATTACTCAGTTCTG